TGTGTCACTGCTCACCTTCAGCTCTGAGATTTTGCTTTCCCTCGTCGTGAACTCTCGCAGCATGTAATCCTTCCCAGCCTGAAACCAAACGTTACATCACGTGAGTCACCTGCCCGTGATGAAGTCTGGCAGCACGCTCTCAGGTGAAACAACTTACCTCGTGATATAGTCGAGTATCGTTTATTCTAATCAGCACGCCGTCCACTCGCAGGAAGAAACGCATCAACAGGAAGAAGCTGGTCGGCATCACTCGCTGCATCAACAAGAAACATCGTCATCATCGTTAAACCTGCTGCTCATTTGGATGTGGCAGTCCCACGGGACAGGGAGACGGCACTCACGATTTTGACGCTAAGCATAGAGACTCCGTGGTCGTGCAGCTCGTCTTCAAACAGCAGCACCTCATCAAAGAACATGATGTGTTCCCGAGCCTTAAGCTTCTCCATGTCAATGCGCTCGGCCGTCTCAGACACCTTCACACGGAAACCTCACGTCACTTTCTTACAAAGCTGTGACTGCAAAGAGTGAACAGTGTCGAACCTGCCTACCTGTATCTGCATGCTTTCTCCCGTCAGAGTCCCTCTGTAGTCTGTGGTGTACGTCCAGTCATAAGGTCGGATCACATCTTTAGAGTGTTCAGACTCAGCTCTGGGAGGGGATATGATCCAGATGTTTAGCTCAGTACAGCCAGTGTAACCCTGAGCCTATACTACAGCTTCAGCTTTAGCTGAATGAACGCACCACACTATTCTTTGTTCTCTAGGGTAAGACTGAAACACCAACACCTGTCAAATACATTGGACAGTAGCTGACAGTCACAAAATTGGTGCAACACAGCGGCGCCGCAGGAAATCTGCCGCAGAACGCCGTAGACAGACACAGCAGCACGCCGAGTCCCAAGTACTGGTCTAAAAGTGTGTTTTTAGATTATCTGACAGAAGCTAACAGTGAGCGTCTCACCTGCTCTCCTGCCATTCCTGAGCACACGCCACCTTGACGCTATGCTCCATGTTGCTGACTCTCTTCAGGGCATCAACAGCATTGAATTCAATCCCGTAGCCGTCCGTGTGTTGGATGCGCAGTATGTTGTCTCCAAACAACATCTCTGGAAGAGAAGGCATGCTCATGTCTTCTGCTAGCCTGGAAAGTCAAACAGTGAAGACTGATTTCAATCAGGTTTTCTCATCTATTCTCGTCG